GCTCGTGATATCGGACGATCTCCGTTTGGGCCCTGTCCTCCCAGGACGGCTCGCCGATCGGCTGTTCCGCGCAGTGTCTCTTGTTCGGTCGCTCCATCTCTTCGTCGTATCTGAAAAACGTCCGACGTCCCCCTTAGTCTCTAGACTCTAGAACGTCCCCGTCGTTCGATCCCTCACCTGTTGAATATCCACTGGGAGGAGCTGGTGCCGGTCGAAGCTGCGTGCACCGTCGGCGGCATCTGAGGCCGAAGGTACTGATCCAGCTCGTTGCTCTCGACCTCGCACTCTTGCAGATTCAGCGGAAGGTTGAGACCGAGGCCCTCCTCGATCGGCAGCCCCTCCCCGACTTCGATGTAGCGAAAGTCGACGCCAGGCTGTTGGGCCGATTCGCTCGAAGAACCGATCGCCACCTCGTGCTGATAGACCGTGGTGCTGTTCCCGCTATTCTGTGCCGCCGGTTGATTCGCCGCCGGTTGATTCGCCGTCCCCTGTCAACCGATTCCCTCCCTTTCGTTCCATCTCTTTCGAGCTAACCGAAAATTTTCGAGCCGAAAATCGTTCCGTTACCTGATTCGCCGCGTAGTGCTGTTGTCCACGCGGAGTGGCCGGCGGAGTGAGCGGACACAATCCTTGGTTGGGAGTAGTCGGGGGAGAAGAGCTGACTCCGCTCTGCGGAGAGTTCGGGCCACCCCGTGGACTGGCGTCTTCTTGCTTCAACGACCTGGACACGTTGAAGGTGACGTTGCTCTGGCTCCTCGAGGGCGAGGCTTCTCTGCCCGACGGCCCGTTTTGCTTCCGACGACGAGGTTGATACTTGTAGTCCGGATGCTCGCGCTTGTGGATCACTCGAAGAAGATCTGCCTGCTCGATGAACGGTTTCTTTTCCGTGTCCGAGAGTACTCTGCGGTGAAAAGGGCGATAATTAGCGGTGTTTGTGAACCTTTACACTGGCACGGCTCACGTCGCGAGAGCGTTTCTATCTGTCAGCGTGTACGAGATATGTATGTACATACTACACTCGACGCGAGGCGACGCGAGGCGGCGCGAGGCGACGCGAGGCGAGTCGAAATGGGAGGTCTGGTTAGTGTTTCTCGCCGCTGGTTAGAGAGTCTTAAGGGCGCAACTCACTCACACGCGTGTACTCTTTCTCTTCCTCTTTCGTTCGACTCCAGCGCGACTGGAGTCGCCGCGTGTTTATGTTCCCACTGGGCTCGTAAAGCCCCGAGACCGATAAGCTTTTCCGGTCGCGGCCTCCTTCTCCGCTCGGTGAATTTTTCTAAAACGCGCGACGACCGCCTAAATGAAACGGCGATGGTGGAGGTTCGACCAAGGTCCGAGGGCAGCGAGCAGTGCCAGCGCAGGCTCTCGAACGCGTCGTCTTGAAACGTGCGAGTGCCGTTGCTGGGAAAAAGAGACGAGAGAGCCCCCATCTGGTCAATGGACTTTGCCTCGGTGTTTTTTTGGTCGGTAGGGCCCGACGATAGCGGACCGTCGCAGCCTCTCCTCTTTTTCCTCGCCAGATGCAACGCAGGGTCAGCTAATTTAGCTCTGGCGAGATATCGCAACGCTGCCGGATACGACTAACGGAAATCGATCGAGACCGCGAGATCGTCGAGGCTTCCGTCAGACTTATCTGCGCGTTTACCTGTTCGGCGCGGCGTGGCGCGGCGTGGCGCGGCGCGGCGCGGCAGTTTCGGAAAAATTCACCTGACGGGGACAAGGCGTTTATTGTGATCCTTGGGGGGCCCTTTATCTGAGGCAGGAACCGGCCGGCAGCTGTTAGCACGCGCCAAGGATGAACCGAGCGTATCTGTTTTCGTTTTGTCGACAAACACACCGTCTCTACTATTCGAACGCGATACCTTTCGAGCCGGAAGAAAAAGGACAAGATTTATTTTCGACGCCTACCGTACACCTGGTCTGCCGTAGATATCGTACTCGACTCGTTCCTTTTTCGCAAACAACGCGGACTTGCTCCCTCCTCGCGCCCTCGATTTTTCACTCGACCGATCGGCGAACCTATTTTCACGTTAAACGCCGTTTGGTATCGAGGATCGGAATCGCGATCGGAATCGATTCACCGCAGGTGGGGCGGGTGATGGTCGGCGCGCGGCGTCCTCTGATCCGAGACCCGCTGGGGCACCTCGTTAGTACCGCGATCAGGAAACGGAGAACAATCCTCGCAGAACAATCGCCGGGACTATTTAGGTTCGCGCGGTTGTCAACCGAGAAACGATCCTACCACGCCACGTGGTCAGAACGTGTTCGGCGTGTTGCTGCCCCGTAAAAAAAAGCTTGCTCGCCAATTCGCCTGTAAAAATAGAACGCGGTAACAAGTGGTCGCGTGGACCGCCGTCGCCGCCGTCGCCGCCGCCGCCGTCGCTCCAAACTTCTCTGAATCTCACCGCCAAAGCTTCCCCAGCGTCTTGGACAGCTCCGCGTTGTGAAGTTGGGGATACTGATCGGCTAGGATCTTCCTGGCAGCCTGAGCCCACACCATAAACGCGTTCATTGGCCTCTTGACGTGAGTCGCTCTTTTGTCGCCGGAACCCCTGCAATTCGAGGACATTATCTTCGATGGAAACGATTGTTTTCTTCGAAGGCAGCCGTATCGGGTGACTTGCACTAGGATAATAAAGGATAATACAGGATGATAAAGGATCGTGTCGCTAGCACCCCCAGGTCGTCGGAGGGAACGCGGCACGCTTAAAACCGGCCTTAAAATAACACCGGCGCTGCCAACGGGTGACGAGCAAGAATGGACGTATCCCTTTCTTTCCTAGAAGATCACTTCATAAAACCCCGTTGCCCCGTCCGACCGGTGACTGACGTGATTGCCGTACAGACCCTTCTCTCCTGCTGTTTTCTTTCTCGGATCAATCGAGGAGCTCGCTCCGAGGGAACCGAACCAGCCAGCTGAGAAAGAATCGGCTCGTACGCGTATTTCGGCCTCTTTGAAATAAGAGGGGCGTTAAATCCGTGTGTAAACCGAAGGAGCCGTTGGTAATTAGCGTGGCTCCACTAACAAGGGTTTTCACGCGAGTCACCGCGCCCCTCCGCACCCCTCCGCACGCGGTTTACCTAGATAGGCAAAAAGTCCTTTACACCTCGTTTGCGTGCTCGAGTACTAGGCGTAGGCGGGTCGCGCAACAGCTGCGGATCTTCCCTTCCCTACCCTTCCCCAATCTTGCCGGAAAAATTCACTTTCGGTAAGTCCAAGAATAGGCGCGCGCGCAACAGTTCCGGAGAAATTCTCATGGGTTTCATGGGAATTAAAACTAGTCGATTTTATCGGGCACTATCGTCGGAAATAAACATCGTACCCCCTTTAGCTACCCCGAGATAACCCCGTATAATTGAGGGTTAGCGCGATAAGCCTGTCGCGCGCATACCGATACACGCTCGGAGATTTCAACCGCAGCGTAGCCAGGAAATTTTCCGCCGACTAACCTATGCCTACGCCTTCTTTCCAAAACCTTAAAACCCGCCGCTAATTTCGTTGCGGTTAATTCGTCGTCCCCTTCTTCGATATTTTATTATATTGTACGTACGTATGTATCTTCCCACGATCGACGGACGAAAACAGAGGGAGGGAAGAGAACCGAGGAGATCGGGCATTAATTAGCTAATTTCCGTTAATTGGCAGCCGAGGACATTTTTCCGTTTCCCAAGCCGAGGAAACCAGTGCGTCATAATTAAGTTAGCATTGCCTTTCCCGCCTTCTCTTCCTCGCTGCTCGAACCGTTCAAGCGAAAGGTTTTTGAAACTCACTTGGTAGCAACAGGTACTAGGGACCAATCGTACCCCTGAAGAACTTTGGTAACTGCTGCGCTGATTCTGTCGCTACAGTTCCCAGTCACCGCTGCGGCCCCGATGCTAGACGACGCTTTCCCATTGTTGTTGTTCCCGCTGCCGCTGCCAGCACTGGCAGCATTCGCAGCGACGTTGCTCGCCGCGATCGAACTGGATGCCTCTCCCATCACGTCGTTCATCTTCTCGGTTTTTACTTTGGAGGAAACGGGAAGGATACACGTCGCGTAACCGATCCACGGATTTCTCAACGGGCGTTCATCGGTTAATTCCAATTACCATTTTATCGCGGTGGCAACGCGTCACTTCCGTTTCACCCGCGATCGTTTCTCTCCCCTTTTCTCGCCGGCGATGCCCCCGTATCGGCGCCCACGTTTGTCACGTTTAATTAATTTCGCACTCGATTACGGAGCGAGCGCAACGGACGTGCATCTCGAGCCGTCGGCAACGCGTCGTGCTCCCGGTCTATCTTCCAACCACTTTTTCTTTCTCTTCGTGACTCAAGCCACGGCAATCCTAATCTCTTCTCCTTTGTGTATCGAACCGTTTTGCTCTTTTCCCCTTCGTTCCCGCTATCGGTCGCTCTTCTCAGGCACACTCTCCGCTCGTTCGAGAACAGGCCAAAAACGTCTTCCGACCCTCCTCAATTGCCCACGCAAATTCTCACCAAGGCACTTTGTCCGGCAAACACTATGCTGTCACTTTCCTTACGCGGAACAACGTACTTACGTCAAGATAACGGCGACCGCGACCGCGACCGCGACCAAGACCAAGAGAAAGAGAAAGAGTCCGACGCGAGCCGAGGATTTCTAGTTGGTCGCGCGATCGGCGCTCGAGTGAGGTGGTTGCATCGCCTCAGGGCAGTTTCCACCGATCGCTTCAACAGCGGCTGCTATGTAGTTGGAGGCGGGGCAACGCGACGGCCCGAGTAACACTTGTTGCTTCGCGATCGTGCCACCGGCCGAGGGGAAAGGGACTGACTCCCTCACGGTGGAGGAGGATCGCAACCGGGAACTTTCGAACCCTGACTCGTTCCAAGTTCGAAACCCTCCAGGAGATTGTCGTTCGGTTCTCTGCTACGTACAAGTCCCAAGTCCTCTCTCTCTCTCTCTCTCTCTCTCTCTCTCTCTCTCTTTCTTTCTGCTCGCGGCCGGCAGCCGACGGCCGACGGCCGACGGCCGACCACGATCTTTCTATGGCCACGATATCCTCCGGGAGTAGGACCAATCGGGTTTCTTCTCGCTCCACCTATCTCTACCTCTCTCCCTTTTCCTGTCCCTCCGTCCTTGTCTCCGCTCGTTCCTCCCTCTCCGCTGCTCGTACGCGGGGGCGGCGATTGGTCGAGCACTCGTCGGCAATAATGACGTCACAAGGAGGAGCGTGCAATTTTCCTGGCGGTGCACCAAGTGCGGTCGTGCCTTGCCGATGGTTCCACTCGTCCACGAGATCTCCGAAGGGACACGCCGGCCGATTCTCTCTCTTCCCACCTCCCGCTCCCGTACATATTAAAACCGATCGTACGCGACGACATCGTGCCGTTGCTCTCGCGCGATGACGGCGCAGAATGTAGCGTAGCCCGTGTCACCGTTGGGGGTCCGAGAGTTGCGGTGCTCGCCACCCGGGGGGCTACATGTGTCGAGATGGGTGGGGGACGCGTATCCTTTCAAGTGTCCGCCGCAACTCCAAACCAGGACCCCCGGGAATCGGCGGAATCGTTATTTCGTATCTGCCACGCTCCTCTGCTCTCGATACCTCCTTCTACCTCCGACGCGACTGTTCGGACGACGGCGGACGACGGCGGACGAGGGCGGACGACCGCGGAAAAAGGATACGCCGTTTCCCGAACGGCCCTGAAACGAATTCTTCTTCGCGTATACCGAGAACGAAAGCACATATTGGCGCCACGTGCGCCTCGGGATGTTTATCCCAGGAAGAGCAAAATCCCGGCTTGGTGAAATCAATATTATTGTTCGCGGTCGGCTAAATTTGAATCGCGATTCGGTTGCAGCGCGTGCATCGCGAACCAGCGATCGAGACGCCTACGTGCGCGTGCAGTTTCGCTACCGCGAATTAGCATTCTCCCAGAGAGAAAAAAATATGGCACTCGCCAGGCTGCGCCGATCGGACGCTAGAATAAAAACCCACCGATCCATAATCCGTCCAAGTGTCTCGAGCATTTCCGAGAGGCTGAGTGCGCGTTTACGCGCCACCAGCAAATTAATCCTCTAAAGTGCAACCGAGATGCCTCCTTTGATCTAGCACAAAAGCCGCCACACGGCATTGACCGTGGTTTATATATGCTCATGTATGGGCCACTGTGTTTGCTAGCTCACTCATTCATTAAATTCGTTGTATAATTAGGCTCGGCAGAAAGACGGTGACTGTCAACCCGGTGATTCCCGTGCAGACCGCGCAACGAGAAAAAGAACAAGATTTCACTCGCTCCTCAATTTATGCCCTCGCATTCTCCGTCCTCGACTATACCTCTTCCCTCCACTCCACCCCACCCCACCTACCCTACTCCCGATCTCGTCCCTTCTTTTTCCCGATGTCGCAGCGAAAACGCAAACACGCGCCATCTAATTATACGGCCTACGGGAAACGAACAATTCGGTCAGAGGGAGAAAGGGAGAGCTTTCGTCGAAAATAAAGGGATCCTGGTTGCGCGCGACGCGACGCGACGCTACGCTACTCACTTTCGTTCGTCGACGATCGAGAAGATCGAGAGAAGATCGAGAGAAGATCGAGAGAAGATCGGCAAGATCGACAAGACCGAGGGGATTGTACAGGGCAAAGACAGGACCAAGGCAGATGTCGAGGAGAGGAAGAGAAAAGGAACAAGATCCTAGACACCCCCCACCAGATGTAGAGGTGGTCCACGGAACCGCCTCCGCGGCCTACCATCCAACGTTTGGTGCGTGTGCCAGACGTGTGCTCGTCGTTTCTGCCTCTTTCGTACGGACCAACCTGTGCGCGGTGCGCGGTGCCCGGTCCCTCCAACAGCATCCTCCGCCGTGTTTCTTCTCTAGTCAGTCAGTCGGACAGTCGGCAACCGGTTGGCAGATCCCGAGTCGGGGTGCGATAACCAAGAAGAACTAGTTGCGGAGAAAGTGACGGAAGTGGATCCGACGCCCGTGTCTCTCCCCGAAGAAGGGACCAGGCTCGGTTCACGGTATTAATTATCGGCCACTTTATTACGATGCGTCCTCGTCTCTCGCGTTTTATGTGAAGAAAACAAGAGCGATAACTTTGGTATTTCGAGGAAATTCGTAGCTCTTCCTCCTTATCTAGAAGCGTGAAGAGGCGCTGCCTGGAAGAAATCATTGTTCGCGACGCGAATGTGGATATCTAAACGCGACCAGTGATCATTACTGAACACCAGGTACTCGGGAAATGGAGGCTCACCGCGGTAACGGCGCATCGACGGCTGCAACGGAAACGGAAGCCGGACCATCCAACACCGATCAATCCAATAATTCGCTAGACGACGCAGTCAGCAAGCTACTTCAAGGTTCGCTACTCTTTCTCTCTGGCTAGGTATAAGAAAAGAAAGAAAACGAAAGAATTCCGATTGTCCTTTTCGGTTCTCGCACGGTCGAACGTGTACAGGGAGGAGGCGTGTGGGTCTCGCGTTTAAGGACACTTTAATTGGCGCTGGTAAGTTGGCCCCGGTGGCTGGCTCCTCAGATTTATCCCCGCGATACCCCCCAGTGGGACCGAGGGAAATGCATGATGGCCGAGGTGGAGAAGTCGGAGAGGGGCCGGGCAGTGAGGAAAGACGATTTCGAGGAAGATTCGGGCGCGGCAGGTGCTGCGAACAGAGCGAGACCGCTGAACGTTTGCCACCGGCACTAATTATCTTAGTACGAAATTAAATCCGAGAACAGGGTAGATGGTGGGGATCGATTTATGGTCGCTCTGCGCGGAAAACGCGTCCTCCTACGAAACACGTAATCGAAACGAACCCGATCCGAATCCAATCCCGATCCCTTCAACCACCTTCAAACGGGAGGAGAGAAGAAGGTGGCGATGCGTTCAACGGTGTCCTCTCGTTAACGAGACTATCAATGGTAATGGGAGCAGTTTTGTACACAAGTTAATGTAGCAAGAGTCGACGACAGGTCGGCACTGACAACCGAGATGCCGAAAGACACCGGTTCATTCACCCAGCCACAATCCCTTATTGTCAACCGTAATATATCCATCTCCCCTGTCGAGAGCCATTCATACTTTGGAAAAGTTCTCGGCCAACCTACGAGGCCCCCTCCCCCCCCCATTTCCCTCGATTAACCAATTCTCCCTTATTATCCTTCCTATCTCGATTCACTTCGAAAGCACGACCGGTTCATTTTCGTCCAATACGCTCGCCGCCGCCGACCACAAGTCGAACGCGCGATTAGAAACGGAACCCATTCGTTTCCAACCCGTACAAAAACTATGTATATATTTTTCGCGCGAAACTTTTTCTATTCCCGTCACTATCCGGGGTGCAAGCCCTTTCGCCTTTCCATGGAAAACGATTACGGTTAGCATCGGTGAAGACGTTCGGGAGACGACCTCCAGCGGACGCTAAAGGAGCCGACAGAGAAACCGCGTCGGTGAACCGTATCCTTGTGGTAATTAGCTCCCAGGAAATCTACACACGCCGCACTCGGTGCACCCTACTCCTTCCGCTTAGCCTTCCTTGCGCTCTCTTTTTTCGTTAACGACCCCGCCCAGCCCCGATCGGGCAATTAGAAACGTACAACCACGCGCTACCTTCTTACCGCTTTTCTTCTACTTCATCCTTCGTAATTTATCACACTTGCCTAAAGAGAACGGCACGCGACACCGATGCAGGATTCGACGCATATCCGATTCACCATGAGATTTCTCCGAACGGAAAACTCGCGTCGACCCAAATAACTTTTCGCTTTAGTGTTCGCTGGAAGAGGGACTGAGAGGAATCGACCGATAAAAGACCACCACGCTCGGAACTCGTCTCGTTTCTTTTCAACTCGTGTTCACCGATTTCTCTCTCTCTCTCTCTCTCTCTCTCTCTCTCTCTCTCTCTCTCTCACGTTTCTTTACCATCTAATTCCGCGCAAAGATCGGCTACGCGACGTTCTACTACACTCTCCCACCGTATGTTACTTTTACAGGCTACGATTGGACCTTGCTTCCGGTCACTTCTCGCGCAGGAGGACGAAGAAGCGCCCACGTGAAACGTCCGATGAACGCGTTCATGGTTTGGGCTCAAGCGGCAAGACGTAGGCTAGCGGATCAGTATCCTCAACTTCACAATGCCGAGTTGTCGAAAACGCTCGGAAAACTCTGGAGGTGGTGTAATTTACCGCTATATATATATGTGTATATATATATGTACCTACCGTATTGCCGCGTGTCCAGAATTAACCCGAACCAATGTAACCAATGCAGGATTCTAAGCGACGGTGAGAAGCAACCGTTCGTAGAGGAAGCTGAGAGGCTGAGGAACGCGCACAAAAAGCAGCATCCGCATTACAAGGTAACCTTACCCTTACCGAAGGTAAAAGTAAAAGATAAAAAATGGTGAAACGACGATTCTAGTATCAACCGCGACGACGGAAACCAAAGTCGGAGGAACAGATGGGTATTGTGATGCACCGGACTACCTTATCCTCTCCGGGCACTTCTCTAGACTCGACTCCAGCGGACGCTAAAGGAGCCGACAGAGAAACCGCGTCGGTGAACCGTATCCTTGTGGTAATTAGCTCCCAGGAAATCTACACACGCCGCACTCGGTGCACCCTACTCCTTCCGCTTAGCCTTCCTTGCGCTCTCTTTTTTCGTTAACGACCCCGCCCAGCCCCGATCGGGCAATTAGAAACGTACAACCACGCGCTACCTTCTTACCGCTTTTCTTCTACTTCATCCTTCGTAATTTATCACACTTGCCTAAAGAGAACGGCACGCGACACCGATGCAGGATTCGACGCATATCCGATTCACCATGAGATTTCTCCGAACGGAAAACTCGCGTCGACCCAAATAACTTTTCGCTTTAGTGTTCGCTGGAAGAGGGACTGAGAGGAATCGACCGATAAAAGACCACCACGCTCGGAACTCGTCTCGTTTCTTTTCAACTCGTGTTCACCGATTTCTCTCTCTCTCTCTCTCTCTCTCACGTTTCTTTACCATCTAATTCCGCGCAAAGATCGGCTACGCGACGTTCTACTACACTCTCCCACCGTATGTTACTTTTACAGGCTACGACTGGACCTTGCTTCCGGTCACTTCTCGCGCAGGAGGACGAAGAAGCGCCCACGTGAAACGTCCGATGAACGCGTTCATGGTTTGGGCTCAAGCGGCAAGACGTAGGCTAGCGGATCAGTATCCTCAACTTCACAATGCCGAGTTGTCGAAAACGCTCGGAAAACTTTGGAGGTGGTGTAATTTACCGCTATATATATATGTGTATATATATATGTACCTACCGTATTGCCGCGTGTCCAGAATTAACCCGAACCAATGTAACCAATGCAGGATTCTAAGCGACGGTGAGAAGCAACCGTTCGTAGAGGAAGCTGAGAGGCTGAGGAACGCGCACAAAAAGCAGCATCCGCATTACAAGGTAACCTTACCCTTACCGAAGGTAAAAGTAAAAGATAAAAAATGGTGAAACGACGATTCTAGTATCAACCGCGACGACGGAAACCAAAGTCGGAGGAACAGATGGGTATTGTGATGCACCGGACTACCTTATCCTCTCCGGGCACTTCTCTAGACTCGACTCCTCGTCTCTACCCGGAGAGACCGACCTACCACGAGAGCAAAACCAGCAGCTACGATCTTTCGAGGTCCGCTTGGCCACCGACAGATTCCAACAAATACCCTCTCGATCATCTCTCGATCGTAGACGGTGGTAAATCGTACGAATCGAACATGACCAAGAGCTACGTCGACGTGAAATATCACGAGGTGGTATCTACCGCCGCCAAGTATCACGAACAGCCTGTTCCAAAGTATTCCGAATTGCAGACCAAGCCTTACGACCTACCCAAATACCCCGACAGCCCCTTGAAATATCCCACGGTAACGGACGTTACCAACCCGGGCAAGACTTACGCCTGCCAGTATTACTCTGCCCCCGAGGGATATACGGTGCACGAGGAGAACGAGTATCAAACACAGCCTGTCTCCAGCCACTCTTTTTATCCGTATATTTCCGCGTCTATGACGCAACCACCTTATTACATGGGCCCTCGGTAAATCGGTTTCGTACATCTTCTTTATTCCTTCCTGCGATAATAGAAAACTCGTCTGTCGGCCGAGTTCAACTGCTTTCTAATCTTTTTCTTTCCTTTCCTATTTATTCATACCATTTACGATTAAATAAACAAATAAAGCAGCTGTCTACTTCCATCGATAAACTCTCTACGTATGTATGTATGTATGTATGTATGTATGTATGTATGTATGTATGTATGTATGTATGTATGTATGTATGTATGTATGTATGTATGTATGTATGTATGTATGTATGTATGTATGTATGTATGTACGTATGTATGTATGTATGTATGTATGTACGTATGTATGTATGTATGTATGTATGTAGTATAATTTACTTTCTATTGTTTGTTTAGTTGCACACCCTAACCCACTCTCCCGCTCTCACCCATATACCCCTCCCCCCGTTAACACGTTCGCTGCCCAGCAGTGTACACGACAGTGTACCGACGCGACGCGACGGACAACCACAAAAACTCCGTTCAACGATGATTTTCGGGTGGCAGCGAACGTGTTAAACGGAGTACGCTACTTTCTCCAACAATCGATGTCAAAAGGTCGACGAAAATATGAAAAACGGGTAGGATTCCTATATATATATAAAGAGAGGGAGAGGGAAGAAATGAGAGATAGATAGATGGATGGATCGATAGATAGATAGATAGATAGATAGATAGATAGATAGATAGATAGAGAGAGAGAGAGAGAGAGAGAGAGCGACGCCCTTTTTCAAATAGCTGCTACACAATCATACCTATGTTTACAGAACAATCAACAACTCGTAGTACATGTTTGATTCGCACGCAATGCTATTATATGACTTACGCGAAAAACGACCTAAACATCGCGATTTATCAAAGCAGCTAATTCTATTATTTGATCCCTATTTGCGTGCATAAACGCTTTCGCAGTCCATATCATGTCAGCCAGAACTTCGTCACTCTTCTCATCCATGGCGATATTCTGCGACAGTTGCGGATTAAATCTATAATAAGGCACTCCGATCATCGAGCACCAATTTCTAGCGCGATCCACGATTCTACCGTCGCTCGCGGTTACCTGATCTACTAATAATTTCGCAACACCCAATATTCCCATGGCAAATTTCGCCGCGTCCCATATTGTCTCCGGTAGAAATATGTCCACGCCGTTTAACGGACTACTAGGGATCAAACCGGTGCCGATAGAGACCACCAAGGACAGGGGGACCACTTCCTGTTCGCGTCCAGTCGCCTTCAGAGCCAGATTGTATTCGTTTATTTCGGTGATGGCGTCCAACGTCGGGTTGTTTGCTATTAATCCACCATCTAGATATTTGCCAAAGGATCGAAAATAGGAAGGGGCTGCACCGGTTGCTCTCGCAGCGTGCCAAAGAAATTCTTCGTTCGGTGGCGAAGGAGCAGCAGACATCGAACTCTTTGGAATATTCAGTATCACGCTAGGTGCGTCGTAGTTGCGAAATATGTATAGATCGATCGGCATTTTTTCAGCCAACACAGCTGTGATCATTATCTTTGGTCTCTCGATATCCGACATAACCGAACTAGCACCAAGACTATCTTTTAGTACTTTCTCTAAACCTTCGTTACCATACGGACGCATCCCGAGAAAAGCTTCCTCCTTGATGCGAAAGTAGAGCGCCTGACATTCTCGCAAAGACTTGCCGGACGCTATACCGAGAGCCAAGATTCCACCCGTCGATGTGCCCGCGATCCAATCGAAACAATCCCGGATTGGTTTATTTAAGATCGATTCGATTTCCAATAATGTTTGCACCAGCACCAACCCGCGAATCCCTCCTCCGTCCAGACAAAGAAGACGACCGCCTTTTATTTTTCTCTTCCCTTCCGTAGCCATCTTATCCATCCCGGAAACGTAAAGCATTTGGTCCAATATGGTTCGCGGGACAGCCATCGGTGGCTGCTGCGGAGCCACGCCGGTGAAGCTTTCGTCGTGTTTGCAGCCCACGCTACAATCGACCATTTCCTTTGGGCAACGTTGAGCACCCACCGCGTCCAGAATATAAAGGATCTTCTGGCTCTCCTGATTGTTCATATTCGTTAGGTGTCGCGGCGTTTCCGACTTCCAATTTCTGGCGTCGATGTCCGCTCCGAATCCTATCAGACACTGCACTATAGACAGCGAGTTTTCGGCAACAGCCAAATGCAACGGGGTATTCCCATCTTTATCCGCGATATTTGCACAAGCCATATGACTCAACAGAGCCACCACGCACGGCAGTCGTTTTCTCATTGCCATTATGTGTAAAGCCGTACGCCTGTCGAAATTCAAAGCATCTATATCGCAATTGCTCTCGAGCAGAGCAATGATCACTTCCCTGCTTAAAGACCAGTGCAACGGTGTGCCGCCAAACTTCATGTCTTCCGCGTGAAGCACGTCTGGCTTACCGTGAAGAAAGTCTCCTACGTAACCAGGACTAGAAGGCTCACCTTCCGATGCGGGAATGTTCACATCCGCACCGATTAAAAGAAGAGCTTTAACACACTCGGGTTTGTTATTCAGACACGCTAGATGTAACGGCGTGTACCCGTTACTGTTACGACTGTTCAAACTGTTTGGACGGTCGCCTCCAAGGGCTAGAATTATTTCTTTGGTAGACGTGGCAGCGTAATGATATACGGTGTTCGCCTTATAGTCCAAATGTTCCAAAGAACTTTTAGCTTCTATCAACATCTGTACTGTATACAAATTATTGCTTTGCACTGCCACTTGCAACGGAGATATACCTGTCTCTATGTCTCCGCTGTTCAATTGACTATTCACAACTGCATGGGCAAAAGCGCTGTGAAGTGTACAATGAGCTGCTAAATGTGCCAATGTCCATGTGGGATGTTCCACTAAAGTATTGCACAACTTTTGTATCTTGCCCACGTTGCACATCTGCGTTGAAAGAACAAACACAACAAACATTATTTCTCAATTCTCCCCTCTCTTCCGCAAATCTTTCAAACAATTTTTTCTTTTCATATATTAGATAATTACTTGCTGACAAATTTGAACAAGTACTGGAACCTTGTCTTTGTACACGATAAAACGTCTTTCTGCTGCTTCCCTCTCTTCTGAACGATACAAACTGAAAATTTCCTTATTTTAGCTAATTATTCTTCTACCATTTATCACCGTTTATCCGAGTAACTTACCTATAAGCCTGATGCAATGTTTCCGTACAAGGTCTGTGAAGAACGATTTCATATGTTTCCTCACTCTTCTTTCCTGGACCATAAAGTACGATAGCATCTTCGCGGCTCTCGATATGCCGATTACTATAATTTTCAGGCTTAACTTCTAGAATTTCGTTCGGCGTAAGCCAGTCCTTATATCCGGTACTTCGTAGAACGTTGCTGGCAATCGTTCCCAGCCAAGCCATAATCGATAATTTAGGTTATCAACGAAAACTATGACAGCACTTATTCTAATTGACTATCAAACTGTTCCAACAATTTAGCCAATTATATAAGATTCCACTGATCATTTTTTCCGAGAACGTTATTACGACGCGTGACCTGTACGTTGCACAAAAAGGAAATATTGTAAGATACTTAATGTGTACAACTTCAATTGGATTCAAACACCGCAGTTGTCAAAAAGATCGTCACAATTGTAAACGAAAATTTTCACACTGTTAAGAAAATGTGTCCTACCGAGATTATTCCCTATGAATACACTTTCGAAACTGTCATATACGAAAAGTTCCACTAACAATGTCAAAGTACAATTCCAGTTGTCTAACTCGATCGAATAAAATACTTTCTGCTATTTCCCTCCCGTTCGTTCGTTCCTCAATTTATCACTTTTCTTATTATTCAACTTTAAACACTAAAATAAGATAAATATGTTTCGCTTTTGAGATATTCGCTTTTACATTACCTCTTTTCGCACAAGTACTTAACCTTTACGCTTGTTGGTATACACGATGCCATTGTTTTCCAATAAATTCTCTCCAAAAAAGACGCCCACCAGAAAAGCAGCAGTTTTTTTAGCAAACAAAGATTTCGGTCCAAAATGCATAGAAAAGGAACTTGGACCGAATATTGGACCTATACGTTTAAAACTGGGAGACCAGGAAACTGTTTTCAAGTCTGGTTCGTGGATTCCAGGTAAAATAATACCTACAACTTAATTTTAAAACGACGACGACGACGACGACGATGACGACGACAACGACAACATTTTACGTTTCTTGTTATTGTTACTATTGTATAAAATTCATGTTACAGAGTCAGGGAAAATTGGAGGCACGTACAAAGAAAATGAAAGACTGAAGAAGGAAATAAAAAGATTAGAAGACGAAAACAACTTGCTAAAGTTAAAATTTGAAGTACTTCTGGATATGGTTATTAATTAATTGTATTTTACTCTTATCGCACAATGTGTAACATAGTAAGTATGTAGATTCATTCTCCTTTGTACTAAATTATCACCGTTTTATTTCCACAGTTAACACAGACAACTGCAGAATTTCAATCACAAAAGGAAGAACTGGATAGATTTAAGTCGTATAACAAAGACAATGAATCTTGATACTTAAATACGTTACTTCAATTCACGCTTCATCGTTTCTTTCATATTTACAGTTTTTATATAAAAAGTATCTATATACAATTACAATTTTAGTTTCAATTCACTAATCATTAACTTATTCGTACGCATCTACATTTATGTAGATGTATATATGTATATTTACTGTATATGTAAATGTAATTAGATTCGTATCATCATATTCAACCTCTGTAAGTTTATTAATTCTATATACACTTCTTTTTGTCAATCCATTGCGTTTTCAGGGCAAGTCTTTCTTGTATGTCCTACAAGCAAAATACTAACATAATAAATACTTTAAAAGGTAGAACATTTTTCGCAAACGATTAAGAAATACGAACCTTCTATTCCGCAAATGCCACATTTTCTCTTACCAGTAACAACTCGAGACTTCTTTTGCGAATACTCAGTTTTCTGTCCTTTCGATGCTTTTCTTTTTTCGTTGCTTTCATCTGCCCATTGGAAGAACTTGCAAGACTCGTTCATGTTTTTAGGACAAGAATAAAACGAACGTCCTTTGTTAGGGCCATCTTTCTGTACAATCCTTCTACAGTGCATACACGTAAAACTTACTTCCGTGAAATATTACAGAAAATAGAAGAATTTTCTCAAACGTTTATGTACTCACTGTTTTGCCATTTCGTTACAATCACACTTAACGTCACTATTTAATGCTGTAGCTGCACCTCTGTGGTAATTAGTATGAGTACTTGAACCTGCGCTCGTGTTTGCAGTTAACGTCTGATTTGTATCTCTACGGGTGTTTTGTATTTCATGTGCATTCTCAGGTGCCCAAAGAAAAAAATCACAATCACTCCCTCGAGGTTTTGCACATTTATAAAATAATCTTCCTAAAATACGTCGTGAACAAACAATCTTAGATAATAATCAATCATATTCGAAGAAAAATCTTTCGCAAAGATATCTAAAAAATGTATACCATGATTCGGCCCTTCTTTCCTTACTCTTAATTCAATTGCATTTTCGTTACATTTACACGTAATGGTATTATCGTTATCGATGTTGCCCCATGTTCTATTATTCTCTTCATTTCTTAGCAATCTTAATTCACTACTATTCACAGATTCACCATTATTTCTATCGTTTTTCAAATGATTTCCTCTTTTCGCATTTCCCTTATTACTTGATCCGCCTCTATTATTACGATTACTATTCGGATTTCGAACAACCCCTACAGGTACAGTACTTCTAACGTCTGACGACGGACGAGGAGCATCGTTGTTCTTTATTAGAGGTGGATTTAAAACGGCAGTCGATGTCGTCCCGTCCAACATACTACGATACCCGCTATCGCTTCTTCCACTTTGACTTTTAATACTTTCACTCTTTACATTCAACAATTCGTTAAACATAGAATCACAACCACCTATGCAAGTCGTGTAACTAGTACCATAAATAGGGAACGCGTTTCTTGGTAATTTGAACTTCAATTTACGCACATTTCCCGGACACTAGAAATAACA